TTTTTTTTTGGTTGCAGCCGTCATTGTTGTTTGGCGGGTCCAGGCTGGGGATTCGAACCCGCCACCTTAGGTGTACGTGGCTGGCGTCTTAGCCGGTTGAGCTATAGGCGCCAAGCCTGCAGGTTTTATGTTTATTAACTCATTTAATGCTTGCAACAGCCTAATGACATAGGAACTAGTACTATTTTCCTTTCTGTTTTGCAGATGAGGAAGCTGAGACAGGTTAAGTGATATGTTCAAGGCTAGCCAGGATTCTCACTCGGTCTGAGTCCAGAGTTAAAATTCCTATCCACATCGACCTAGACCAGCAGGGGACTGCTGGAGTGTAAGGGGAGGGACTAATGGCAGTCTGGTCTGAGACAGAAGAATGGTAGCAGAGAGGCGGGACTGGATTCTAGGCCTGGACTCCAGAAAGGGACTGGGCTAAAGGTAGAGGGGCCCAAGATACCTCCAGGTGTCGGGGAGTATGGCAGCGTCCTCGCAGGGGAACTCTTGAGGGGAGCAGATGCTTGAGGGGATTATGGGACCAACCTAGGGCTGCTGGCAGGTGGCTTGGGGGAGGTGGTTTGGCAGAGAGGCCTGCTAGAGTCCCCTCCCCTCAGCTCTAGCCCTAAAATGAGGCAGTAGGCCCACCTCCCCCAAGCATCCCAGACCCCAGACGGCTCAGAGGGAAAGAACATGGGCTTCCTGGAGGGAGCTGGGACCATCTGGAACCCCCCCTCTCAAGTCCCCATTGACTCTGGGCTGCCACCTGCCTGGCAGGCAGGGCCACGGGGTCCAGCAGGGAGTGGAAGGGTGCCGTCTGTCTGCCCGGAAGCTGGCACCACCAGCAGGCAGCGGGTGTCGCGCCTCCCACCCCTCAGGCTGCCTGGCGCTGACTCAGCTCCCCCCCCCAGAACAAACAATCCCCCACGGTGACAGCTGACACGCGTCACTCACCACCAGGGTTGCCTAGCAACCATTGGGGCCTGGGCTTGGGGTCTGGAGTGGGATCTGGGGGTCCTTGCCCTGGAAGATTCTAGTTCTTATAACCTTTGGATTGAGGGCCACACCTCCTATCCTCTAGGAGGCCTCACTCCAGGCACTCTGATGTATATAGAAGTCCACTGTGCCAATGAGGAGATGGACTGAGGACAAATGGCTTAGATCACCCAACTAAATAGCTGTGAAAATATAGGGCTTCCAAATAGTAGGTGTTCAATAAATATTTGTTGAATGAACAGAGGTGTCACTTTAAAGCTTCGCCCTTTTCTCCCAGCCTGGGTGCTCTATAGGGTCAAAGTCTGAGTCTTATCCATACTCCCTCAAAGACACCCAGAGCCTGGTCCTCAGGAAGCATCAATACAAGTGAGAATCCTCTAAGGATAAGGACCCCCCACAGGGCTGGTGGGAGGACCCTGGAGGGGAAGGGACTTCCTGACTTACAGGTGCTGGTTAGCTCTGTGCTTCCCAGCCTGAGGCCCTCAATTCCTTTTAGTCCTTAGGACCACAGTCTCCTGTCCCTACCCCATAGGATTGTCCAAGGCCCTGGGGATGGGATAGGAGGCCCCAGTGGGCCCAGGGGGGATGGAGGAAGGGTAAAAGAAATAGAGCAAGGGTGAGGGAAAGAAAAGAAAAGCAACTGAGAGTCAGAGAAAGAGAGAAGCAAGGCCAGGGCTATAGCTGGGTGTGTTTGGGGTGCCTGTAGGGGTCAATCCTTGAGTACCAGGGATAAAGAGTATGCATCCTTATATCAAAGAGACAGGTGCAGGGGATGGGGAAGGGTGCACATGGAGAACCAGGAGCAGGCAGCAGGTCCCAGGAAAAGAAAGGAGGGAGGAAATGGGGAGCCCAGGAAAGAAGCCTGCAAGGCACTGGCAGGCAGGGGGGATGGGGAATAGCAGAGACTAGAGAAGGTAAGAGGACCCCCTAAAGGGGAGTGTGAGCAGGAGA